TGCTAGATTGTGAAGATGAAAGGCACAGTTGCAGCGCCGATGCAATTCTCAGAAAGGAGTTATTGGGGAGAATTTACAATTTTGTCAAGTTTCAAGTTATTCGCCTTGCGCGAGTAGTTATTTAGTGGCGCAGGTTTGATTTACGACACTTTAAGAAACAGGCTTTAACCCAATTTCAATTTTTAAATTCAAGTACTAAATTAAAAAAAAAAAAACATTGTTTAAAATGACTACCTTTTCCATTTTTTATTTACCTAAATCACCTAATTGACACACCTAAATTATTTTTTTAAAATACTTGATATCCGCATTCGCATCCGCGGATGTTAGCTTTTAAACATCCGCATCCGCATTCGCATCCGCGGATGTTTAAATTCCACATTCGTAACATCCCTACTACATATATAAGTGTACACGCAAGCATTTTCAATAAGTAATGGTATAGAAAAACAATGAACTCTGGAAAAAAGCACATATTTTATCCAACCAAAAACCTTTTTGTATAAAAGGGGAAATATACGACACAAGCTTGCTGGCTCCAGCATATAACTTACCAGCATGCTGGTACAATATTTATTTATTTACAAATGAGGTCGAGGAAAGATCGAAATGCTTAGAGCCGAAATTTCATAATGTGTCTACCATTTTGTTAAACATTGTTTTTTTTTTTTTTAATTCACAACTGCAATATCGGGAACTTAATCTTCCACAAACACGGCTTTGACTCATATAGTGCAAGAAATTTCCCCCAACTTTTTACTTAGAAAATTGAGCTAATTTCACCACTCACGACACCAGCAGCTGGTACAATCACACCACAAGAACATACACAGTCAATCGACTTGATGGGCCATTTAACAAATTAAGCATACTAGTGTTCGCCCAGCGGTTGAAATTCAACTGCTAAAATTAAGGACAGTACATATGAGTTGAGTTGAGGTGAAATAACATTAGTTGGGGAGTTCATCTTCATCTTCATCTTCATCTTCATCTTCATCTTCATCTTCATCTTCATCTTCATCTTCATCTTCATCTTC